CTTGACTTACAGACTTTTTGAGTTACAGACTTCTCTGGCCGCAAAATTTAGGTTTGACTTGCAGCCTGAGAATTGACTTACAGACCAGAAAAAAACCAAAATGGAACAAAAACGGCCTGTTACGGGATTAATCGGTTTTCAATGCACTGTAGGTCAATGGAGACTTGACCTACAGACTTTTTGACTTGAGAACCGCCTTCCAATACGGATTAAGTTCTCAAGTCAAGACCCCACTGTATATTATATTGATTATGGCAAAACATATATACATATATAGAGAGCAGGGTACATTTGCCATAGTAACGTAGTTATCATTCAGAGCATTGACATAGAAGTAAATGACCACCAGACTTACTGCTGAGTGGTAAGGTCTGTTCTGTCTCAGTCACATTTATACTCAGAACAACCAATCACATTTCTCCATTTATAGCTGGTCTTGTCAACAATCAAGCAATGCATCATCTTGCTTCACCTGGATGCTGTAAGTCATTACATTGTCTTTTCTCTACATTGTGACTCTTGCACTTCATTTACAGTATTAAAATTTAACTCCCTGTTCATAACCACAACAAAATCCTGACAGATACAAAATTGGGTGGAATATCTAACACCCTGGAAGACAGAAACAAAATTGAAAATGATCTTGATAGGCTGGACCACTGGGCTCCAAATTATGCAACAGAATGACATTCAGCAGGGGTAAGTGCAGAGTACTGCACCTTGGAAAAAGAAACCAATTGCACAGTTACAAGATGAGGGATACCTGGCTCAGCAGAACTATGAGCAAGAAGGATCTTGGAAGTGTCGTAGATCACAAGCTAAATATGAGCCAACTGTGGCTACCAAAAAGGCAAATACTATTTTAGGCTGCATTAATAGAAATATAGCTTCCAAATCTTGCAAGGAGCTAGTCTCCCTCTATTCAGCACTGGTTAGGCCTCACCTTGAGTATTGTGTCCAGTTCTGGACACCACACTTCAAGAAGGATGCGAACAAGATGGAAGATAGAAGGTGACTGGGAAATACGTATATGCAGTGATAAGGGGCAGGGCACCTGCCAAAACTATTAGAACTAGGAAGGTTCCAAAATATTTTGCATAGGGGCAGGATAACCCATGTTTGTGAGTGCTACAGATGACACTTAAAGAAACATAGTTTCATGTAAGGAACTTATTGTTGTACCCTCCAGAATGGATATGTTTTGTAATACTGTAAAGCATTTAAAAATAATTAAAGCATTGTTCTTAAACCCATTTACCTGGAAGTAAGTCTCACTTGTGTGCAGGACTTATTTCTAAGTAATTACATCCAAGACTGTCCTGTAAAAACAGATGGATTCATGGAAATGCCGTATCAGCACAAAGGCTGTAAAAGCACAGACAGAAATTGTAACACAGCATTAAATGGCAGAGTTAAATGCTGTGAGTTCTAGCAGCTACAGTTACACTCAACAAGGAAAATAGAAATAAAAATGCAACAACTAATTTGAACTAAATGATAAAGAGATGCAGTAACATCATCATAGGCATCCTTCAGTCTTGAAGAGACTATGGTAGCGTGCTCTGTATGGAGGACTTGGAACAGCGTCTAGTGTTTTGATGCTGTACGCAAAGCTGGAGTAACAACAGCACTGCTAATTAAAACAAAACAGACACTGCTAATTAAAACAAAACAGAATTATGACTTGGGATAGTAGGTGTACATTCAATGTTTTTTTAGCTGAGGTAATGGTACGCGTATCTCAGTTTTTGGTGCAGAGCCAGAAAGTGGTTCACAGTGTTGTTAAAAACCACAGTATTCCCAATACCTGGGAATTTGATTAATCATTCATTCGATCTTTATTGTGCGGTCACAGACCCGACAAGGAATTTGATTAAATGAATGATGACATTGTTAAAAGTCTGGGTAGAGAAGACACAGAGTAGTTCCTTAAGAAGAATGCAACACAAAACTTTAAGCTGGCTTTCAGAATGAATGAACATTTAAAAACATTGTGAAGATATGAAACAGAAAACAATTTAAAATAGTCGTTCTTAACCTTTGGCTTTCTAGATGTTTTGGATTACAAATCCCATAAGCCCCAAACCAACTTAGACAATGCTAAGGGATTCTGAAAGCTGATTTCCAAAACACCTGGAGGACCAAAGCTTAGAAGCTACTGCTATTGTAAAAAATCTCGTTTACTAAGCATGTAAACATCCTCCCCCCACTTACACAATTTTCACTAATTCTTAAAGTGGAGTGCAGTGATGCTGTAACTCAAATTTCCAAAAAAAACAAACAAAAAAAAAAAAAAAACCCAACCCCAAAACAAAACACCTCCCGTCTTCATGTAAGGTGTTGGATACTGCATACCATGAGATAATGCTTTAAACAGCACTGTGGTTCATGAAATGACTTTTCAGGATGGACCAGGATTACTGAAGCATTGTATTATTGACCTCAACTGGGAAGCCTGGAACAAGGCAGTGGTCCATCTGTCCCCCCCCCCCGCTTTTTCTCAAAAGGGATAGTAATCTGAAATGAGAAAAAGTGAGGTGAACTTCCCATGTGTTCGGGTGAGTTCTTCATTCACTCTTTCTCTGATGGGGTGATACCAACATAACTTCCAGTGATTCAGTGAGCCTACTCTGGTTACAACTTACTATTGGATTTCACCTTGAGGGTGTAAGGACAAGAGAGAGGAGACCACCCTTCAGCATTTTGAGCAGCCACCGAGAAAGCTAACTCTCATTTTCCCACCAAATGTGCCTTGATGATAATGCAAAAAAAAGATAAGGGTGTCTCACAAAGATCTTGCCATTTAGGCAACTCAACTGGGAAGATATGTTTTTTCAGAAAGTCATGAAAAATGTTGTAGATCTTTACATTTAACAACTAGCAACCTGTTTTTTTAATGAGTGTTGAATTCATTTTATATATGTATTTTATGGATGAGTTTTAAACTACAGTTTTCCTTGTAAGCTATGAGCACTCTTGAGTACTAAGATGTAAGATATAAATCCAGTAAACAAGCAGTCCTACCTGACTCAGGACAATGTAGGTGAAGCACTCTGGATAACAGAGATTCCTTTGGGTGGGAAGGTCCCCATTTATGAGGTGTTGCTATCCTTTCTCACTCTGATCTTTTAAAGATTAAGAACCACGATGGAAAAAATATAGATTTCTTGTGCCAACATTATGGGCTTTCTGTACTGGAGTCTTGCTACAGAAACAGCTTTGCCACTCATCTTCTCAACCAGAAACACTTATCAGCATTTGAGTTGATAAAATATATGGCTAGAATGAACACTTGAGAGTTGCATTGTTTCACAAACATGGGGCTTAGTCAAGTTGTAAGTCCCAACTAAAGTAAATCCATTGAACCAGTGGAATTTAGCAAGTCCTATCCATTCAGTGGGTCTGCTCCGGTTGGGACTGACAATTGGATTTAGCCCTTTTATTATAAAATGCATTGTATATTGATATAAAGTAATTAATAATTGGAACAAACCTGGATTAATATGAAGTTCTCTCTAAGGCTTGTGATTTTGTGAAGCTTTTCAAATAATATGTTACATTAATCATATTTTTATTTTATTTTCTCAATAGGGAGCAGCCCTCAAGATAGCCCTAGAAATTTCTCTCCTAGTGCCTCAGCCCACTTTTCTTTTGCACGAAGGTAGGAGAATATGTTTAATATGTCATAATTACCAATGGGAAATCATACTGTGGACATGTTTTTATAATGCTTATGGAAGTCACAAGTATCATTATATATCTCATTAAAAAGCATTTCAGTTTCTTTTGATTTTCAAGAAGTGTTTCTTAGTAATACTGAGTTCATGTAATCTCTATAATCCAAATTCTATACAAGTTTGATATTCTGTATCTACCAAACTAAGAAAATCCACTTGCTGTCTTCATAGTAACTGAAGGCGACTTAGAAAGGCCAGTAGAGTCTGTAAATCTACATTTTGAAATGTTACTAGTCGGTGTATTGACACCTGTCACAATTTTCATTGCTCTCACTCTGGCATCTTGAGAAGGAATTATTTGCAAAGCAGCTATGCCACAATTGTGTCATGTTGCATTATGTATAGTAACGAAATAGTAATTTGTGTTAGCAATTTTCCAAACCAGTTTCTTCACATACAGAAAGGACAAAAGACTCAGTTGGGGTGGAGCACTGTGTCTGTGAGAACACGCCAAAATACATTGTCTCTAGTATGTCATTTTGTACCACCTTTAATTAAGTTGCAAGATTACGTTTTGAGTCACCCAAAAGAGGGCTACAATTGTTGCTGTCAGTGAACAGATGAAGATGCTCTTATAATGGAATGAAACCTGGAAGATGTGGGGAAGGAAACCAGTGTTAGAGAATGAGTTTCTTTATTGGATTAAGAGGAACCCAAACCTCTACAAGGAGGGCTACAGCAGAAATTTTAAGGACTAGTCATTATGACAGAATTTCTGTTCTATTAAAATTTAATTTTCATTGAGAAAGCCCTCCCTGGTTTATAAGACATCTTTCCCTTCACTTCTGTGTTGCAACAGTGTCTTTGCTACTTTGTTTTCACTGCTTGTTGAGTGTGCTAGATGTCTTAGTGCCACTTTTTCTGTACAGTGCACGATATTCTCTGTCCTGTTCTTTATACAATTATTTACTTTGTATATTTATGTACTGTCTGTCCATCAAAAGAATTCAGTCAGGCTCATGGTTCATTTCAGTATTATTTTGTCGAAAACACTGAACTTCTCCCCCACCCCCTTTGGTGCTTTGTTTTGTTCAGCAGCATGGGATACCTACCTGCCCCCTTACCATTGACCCTGTCATCTCCCAATCTGGTCCTGCTGCTGCCTCCTCCACCATCACCACCACCATATTCAGAGGCAGCGGGCCCGGCCTCCCTTCCCGGAACTAGGCCTGCACATGTGCCTGTCGCCCAGCTGATAGGCCAGTGCATATGCAGAGGCAGCAAGCTGTCTCCTTGAAGCCTGGCCTGACACAAACTGCAAACCAATTCATTTTTTCTAGGGGTTCGCAGCTAACCACAAATTAGCTCAATCCATCATTTTTCTGGTTTGTGCCAATTTCTAATTACAACAATAAAACCAACAAAGGGAACAGTTAAAAACAATACAGCAGGGCAGGTGTACATCATATCACAATCTAAAAAGACATGTTTCTGTTCTCTTCTTAAAATCAGTCAAAATAGAAGCAGATTGCAAATCTGCAGGGAGTTCACTCCACAGTTTGGACTCACACAGAAGGTCTTCTCCTGCATGCTTGTTGTGTGGGCCTCAGAAATGTTTCTTAAGAGGGCCTTTTCTAAAGATCTTATGATCCAGAGAAGCTCATTACTCTCTATAATACTGCTACCATATTAGAAAGCTCATTACCACTATAATACCATGACCATAGTAGAAAGATTCTTCAGTAGAGAGACGCTGCCTGAAATATAGCCTAAGATAAATGTGAGATTTCATTTTTGCACTATGTTGTATGAATTAGAGATGGGCATGAACCTCAGTTCAGAAATCTGGCCCAATTTGTTGCTGCGCTGTCCCTCCTCTATACTCTCCCATTCCTCAGGCGATGCATGCTTCCTCCTCATCTCCCTAGCATGACTACTCACTTACCTTTCGCAGCGACTATTCCTTCTCCTGGCTCCTCCATCAGCCAGACACTCAGACAGGGCGGTGAGGCAGGGACTCCTGCAGCGCGCCTTTCAGTATGCAGTTGACGGAGAAGGCAGAAGAGGGAAGAGACACTGCGAGAGGCGAGTGGGTAGTCATGCTGGGGAGGGAGGGAGGGAAGCGCGTATCACCCAAGGAATGGGCGAGTATGCAGGGAAGATGGGAGGGCACTGTGCCCACACAACACCTATGTGAGCACAGCAATGAATTGGGCCAGACATCCGAACTAAGGTTTGTGCCCATCTCTAATATAAACACTTTTTCGAAGTGTAAGGGAAGGACAGGCAAAGTAATAAACTGATAATGTGGAGGGGAAGATTAGACGAGCCATTCTCTGTTGTGCACTTTCAAAGGCAAAGAAGCAAACACACAAATACTAATGAGCAAATGTTTCGGGCATTCTGTTCCTGAATCTATGCCAGGGCTTGTTTGGATCAGTCACTTTTTCTTCCTGGTGCTCATCCAGTCTTCCCTAGTAAATTTATCCTTATTTCTCCCTGGAAGAACAGTGGGATTGGAGCAGTTACCTTACTTTTTCTTGCACCATTTTGTCACAGTATTATCAAATATTGCATTAGCAGGACAATTATATAAAACATATAAGAAGTACCCAAAATGTTCTGCTTTAGACATCTGTTAAGGACCCATCTTTTTCACTCAGGCTTCCTTGCACTGGCTAGGCTGTCTAGTTTGAGAACTGTATTTTGAGCATTTAATTTTAAATGTTCTAATGCAGTGGTTCCCAAGCTTGGGTAACCCAGGTGTTTTTGAACTGCAATTCCCAGAAGTCTTTACCACCAGCTGTGCTGACTGAGGTTTCTGGGAGTTGCAGTCCAAGACCACCTGGATTACCCAAGCTTGGGAACCGCTGTTCTAGTGGAGAACTAAAACATTAATTGAATGTTAATATTTTGTATATGAATAGTTGTGTTTTAATAGTTTTAATGTTTTATTTCTATTGCTCATCTGTATTATACATTACTTTGAGATAACATCAGCTACCATAAATTGTACAGAAATTGGCTGAATAATAATAATAAAATATTGAGTAGCTAGCAGGCTCTTGCATTTGATGCAGACTAAGTGGGAAATAGGAACAGACACTGAAATAGAAAAGCAAAATTTGTATCACTTCCTAAGTTGTAAGATTGTGAAACGCCTTGCAAATTAAATCCCCATGTTCTTTGAAGTTACCTATGCAAATTACTGTTTACTTATATAGTTGTTGTTCCATTTGTGTTTCTTTAAAAAATACATGGTACAATTACACTGCAGTCATGGACATCGAAATGAGAGGTAATTACCATGAAACTCAATTACTCTGTTTTTTGTGGTTTATTTGATTGTAATCAGTTCACTGGGATTGCCAACTGGCTAGAAGCAAGTGAGTCCAGCCAATGTCCCTCCCTCACTGCCTTGAGAACATTGTTCCCAAGATGGACTGTTGCCCCTAATGTTCACCTCCACCACCAGAATTTACTTTGCTTTACCAAAATGCGATTGTCATTTTTATAGACATCCTAAAAACAGGGCGAATTCTGATTTCGCATACATGGGCCGCACAAAAGATTTCATCTGACATTGGAGACAGCAGTGAGAAAGGAGTGTGTGTAGCAAGTGCTATATACTGTTCTTTCTCTTCCCTGTCATATCATGACTGGCAGCATGGAGGAAAATACAGGCTCAGTCCAGTGTTCCATTCCTTGCCTGATTGCCCTGGCTTCAGAAAGGGAAGAACAGAGTGGTCGTGTCTCTGTGTACATGTGTTTATTGGAGTCTTTGGGGCTGGAGGGGAGGGCAAGAGAGAATGTGAACATATAATATAGCAAATGTGGTATTTCCCATCCATGCTTAAGGGTGTGTGTGTGTGTGTGTGTGTTTCTTATATAGTGTTTATTTACCTACCTACCTATATAATGTATGTGTGTGACACATATTTGTTATCTGCTCTGTTTCTTTTACAATTTTTGTCTGTGATATATTTTTAATCCATAGGATCTTGACACAGGCATGGGTGTTATTATTTAGTGGCAGAGGAACTGTAAATAAAGGCAGTAACTATATTTATTAGTTGAACAAGGTATTCAAGCCACACCCAAGTACATGAGTGTGAGTTGGCAACCCTTTGTCTGAGTGGTGATCACATGTCACAGAGCTTGGTAGTGTCTTAAAAGAGAAGTGTTTCCTTCAATCAAAATCTGTCATGAAAATGTTTGTTTTGCAAGTTAAACTATTATAATACTGTCTGGATACATTTTAGTCACTACAATATCTCCATGATACATTTATTAGATTATCATTGTGCATTAGTTTCTTCATTCACCTTTTTCTTACTTAGTATTTTTCATTGGCTATCCACTATTATAAAATATCCTATCCACAGTCAGATTATTTCATATGCTTTTAAAGAAGTGCTTTACATAACATTGTTTCCCCTCATAATATGCAGTATGATTCTATAAACTTTGTTGCTACTATTTTTGAGTAATAAGTTGTCTTATGTGGCTAAATTCAAATTCTCAACAGGACGGATGGACGACGTTGGTCACTGGCATCTCTTCCATCCTCTGGATATGGTACAAACACTCCTAGCTCCACTGTTTCAGTAAGTGACCAGATATAAATGAGTGCCTTTTGCTTATGATTCAGTCTGAGCTTCAAACCTCATAAATTTTGTGTAAACATTCACAAATTAAATACAAACAGTGACCTCCATCTGTCTCCCATTCTCAATGTTTTTGGCCACAGCCAATATGAAGAAAATATAGGCCGCATCAGTATTGTATAGGTTGCATAAGAAATCTTATAAAATGATCTGTGAAGAATTGTTCCAGTCTGTGGCCTGCTTCAAATGTGCCAGGACCCCCATTAAGAATGGCTGTGTTAGGCTCCTATGAGTAGCTACACATCTAGTCAAACATTTCTGTAGAGACACAGAGCATTTCTGTCTGCTTTAATATACATGCAGACGGAGAGGTGGTAGTACAGAGGTGGTAGTACAGAGTATGACTGAGCTTAATGAATAAATGCACTAAATGCTGCTAATATCTCTGTGTGGAAAAGAGGATGCTTATTTTCATGATAGGTTTAGTTAGGATTTCCAGCAATCACTTGTACCCCTTGAGAAAAATTAGACCAAATATCTGGGATGGCTTCATTACTTTTGCTCTGAATGTACTGGAGTAACCCATGATTTTTATGTTGATAGCCTGCGTTAACTGCCAAATTCATCAGATACAGTCAAACAAATTGTATAATTGTGTATAGATTTCTTAACACTGAGTTGTCTGTACCTGACAATTCCCATCACAATAAATGTCCTGGTGGGGAGTGGGGTGGCAGGAGAGGGGTTCTGCATACATTATGGGAATGTAGATGTAGAAATCTAAATAGATGCTGTATCTAAATAGATACTGTAAAAGACTTTGAATCAATTCTTTATATTCACCTGAAGAACATAAATCATACATTTGCTCAGTAACATTGCATTATTTCTAGCGCTTCTTGACAAAACTGTTCTTGTTGGAATTCTTAAAATGGTCCCTAATGTATGGTGCTAGTTTTGCCCTGTTGTTCTGTGTATAAACAGATCCTTATTGCTTTCATTTTCCAACTTATTTAGTCTCTCTTGAAATAAATATTCAGGATAGAAATAAGTGTTCTCTAATACAAATGAATTTGCAACTGTGACAAACCCAGACCTACTGGGATCTGCCACACAGTTACACTAAGCTGCCACCAACCATTCCCTGTAAGAAGTCACACAGACCAGGGATGGATTTTTAAACAATAAAAAGAATAAGGTTTATTTAAATACAAACAGGGTAAATAAAACAATTAGGTGAATAACATAAAGTAACGTGGCTTATTCTCACTCATACAAGCATACAGTTTGGTTCACCCAGAACCCTTAAATTAAAGCACAGACCCTGAACCTATCAGTTCTGGCTAACCAACAGACACCTGAACCTATCAGGTTGGTACTCTGACACACAGAAGTACCCTGTCTGACACACAGACTCCCACAACAGCTTCTTCTTCCCAGCTGCTGCTTCGTCACAACCCAGTGTCTCTTAGCATCTCTCAGTGTCTCTTAGTGTCATCCAAACTTCACCACACAGGCATCACATATATATACAGTACAGCCCCTACTCCTGATGTCCCGCCTTCCACTCTCCATAGGATGGAACTTTCCCTCCAAACCCATGACAGACAGGTAACATCAGTGCTGTATGTAACAGCAACCAATGAGCAATCAGTGAGGTCTAGGCAAATTACATTCTTGATGTGCAGTAATTAATTACGACATGGCCGTTGTCCTTCCTAAGTTTTGTAAATACAGCATTCCATAATGCCCCACTTGCTGAAATCAATTAAAAGTCTATCTAAAATATAGCTTTGTCTACTGGTAGAAGGGCAACATCATTTCTTAATATCAGTGATTCTCCTACCCATGTGCCCCACTCATGTTGCTTGTAAAAATATTTACTGTTTTCTTTTGCACAATTAATTCCCTCATTTCTTCTCATAATTTAGTTTTTGGATATTCTTTTCATCATGGTCTCTGTGCCTTACATGTGGCAGCATATTTTAGTAATCTTTCTGTGCTTTCAGAAAACACTCTCAGTACCATTTTAAAATATTTTTTCTGGCTTTAAAAAAAAAATCTCTTACAATCCTTTCAGTTCTTTTTCCTCAGGGCCTCTGGCCCCTAGAATCTTATTTAAGAACTGATTGAAATGTGGATGGAAATTTCCTCTCACAGACAGTCATGCAAAGGCCTTTATGCATGCTGAACAGCACAATTCCATGGTTTACAAAATTTGTCAGGGATTTTCCTCTTTAATGAAGCAAAAGTGCACCTGCTGTTTGGAGAAAGCCATATTAATGGTTGATTATCCACCAATGATGATGTTCATTTGCAAGTCACCTGGTGTTCTCAAGATGCTTCTCCAGCCTTTATTTCTGTTACCACATCAACATTGTCGACACTGGTATTTACCTTGATACAGTGGTGCCTCAATTTATGACCATAATCTGTTCAAGAAGATGGACGTAACTCGAAATGGTTGTAAGTCGAAGCACCATTTCCCATATGCATTGAAATGCAAATAAACCATCCCAGCTGAAGAAAAAATTTACCAAAAAAATCACTGCAAGACTCATTGGAAATGCAATTAATCCCTTCCAGCTGAAGGGGGAGGGAGAAAAGCAATCAAGCGTGCAAGACCCATCAGAAATGCACCAAAAACAAACGGAGCAGATTGGAAATGGACAGAGAACAAAGGGACCAGGTCGGGACTGTAAAGAGAACAAAGGAAAAAGCAAGGGAAGCATGCAAGGCCCATCGTAAATGGGGGGAAAACCTAAAAGCAACCAAATCCCCCAAGACCCATCGGAAATGGGGGGGGGAGACAAAAAATCCCTCAAGACCCATCAGAAATGGGGAAAATACACTAAAAAGCAACCAAACACTCCAAGACCCATCAGAAATAGGGGAAAAAACCCAAAAGACAAACAAACCCCCCAAGACCCATTGGAAATGGGGAAAACCCCCAAAAAGCAACCAAACCCCCCAAGACCCAGTGGAAATGGGGGGAACCAAAAACCAAACAACCCCCCCAAGACCCATCACAGCACAGAAACATAACCCCCCCAGCCCAAAACCATGCTGCAAAAACACCCAGAACAGTTTTTAAAAAGCAGAGAACCGCACCTTACCTCACCAGGCAGCGTCCTCCGATCGCACACTCTCTAACTGCTGGGGTGAAAGAGCTACAAAGAAGCAGCTTCATTGCCACCTACAGTTAGCAATTTGAATTTCCCACCTTTTTTCCCTGCCTTTTTCTGTTCATAAGTGGAAGCTCCGATTGCAAGTAGAAGCAAAATTTTGCGGCTGGAGCTGGTTGTAACTCAGAATGGCTGTAAGTAGGGATGTTCATAAGTCGAGGCACCACTGTAGTAGTTTCAGCTTTGCTTGCAGCCTCAGGGAGTTGTAGACCAGAAAGCAGAAGAGGTTGGATGCAGCAGATAAGCCTAAAAGAGAAAGTATAAGCACAGTAAGCCAATTTCACATGTTTGTTACTAACATTCCAGAGATGAAAGTCCCTTATCACCCACCTTTTCTTTATTTCTTTGTTTAATTTGTATTCCAACTTCCTCCCAGCAGGGGGACTGAAGGCAGCATATGAAAAATTTACTGTAAACAGCAAGTGTTAAAATGATTTAGCCGCTTATACAATGTTGCATTGGTGTAATCTTCAGGACTACACCATCCCTTTCCTTGTTTTTTCTGCCATACAGAAATCTGTGATTATGGTAATACAATCTACATTTGTGGTGCCCTCAACCCCTAGTTCAGTTTTACCTTATTATTAACCCACATTTTCATTTCTACAGAACCCTTAATACACTGACTTGTTCAGTATTGCAACCAGTCTTTCAGAACCTGACTGTTCAAACAATACCTATTCCTCTGATTCGACTCATGCTTTCTCCTTCAAATCAGCATTGTCCTATACATCAAGACCTCACACATTGAGACCAGTAATTTTTGCTTGCTTGTTCATTTCATGTTATTAGTCTGATGGCTTGTGCTATCAGAGTGTTTTGCTTTCCCTGACCTAGTGTGTGTCACCTTCCTTTTTAGTTTCTTTAGCATTACAACCCTTTTCCCAACCCCTCATTCTCAGCTTTCACTGCCTATCACTGATTGTCTTTATATACGAGAATGCCATTCACACCCAGATATCCTTGCTAAACAGTCAGACAAACCCAAACATTGTTGAATACTTTGGCCTAGGGGTCAGAAATTAAACAGGAGAACAACTCATAGAATTCTGTCAAGCCAAACATCTGTTTCTTGTGAATACATACTTCAGGTTACCAAACAGACAACTATACATGTGGACATCACCAGATGGCCACTACATAACTCAGATAGACTGTATAATTGAAAATAGCGGATAGAAAACCTGTATTCTCTGTGACAAAACAAGACCGGGACCTGATTGCGATACTAACCATGAATTGTTAACATCAAAATTTAGAGTAAAGCTCAAGAGGAACATTTTTAAAATGTGCTGAAATACAATTTAAATGGTATTTCTGATTAATTTAGGGTTCAAATAAAGAATAGATTTGTGTTATTCCTAATTACTGTGTATGCATGTGAAGGCCAGATAGTGAAGAATGCCAACAGGAAAAAAAAATAGCCATTGGAAATGTGATGTTGGAGTAGAACTTTATAGATACTCTGGACTGCAAGAAAAACAAATTGAATGCTAAATCAACTAAAACATGAGCTCTTAGAAGTGCAAATTGCTATACTGGACTTTGGGCATATCATGAGGAGAATAGATTCATTTGAAAACACAGTAATGGTGGGAAAAGTTGGTGCCAGGAAAAAAGAAAGATAAAATAAGAGATGGATTGACCTAATAAAGGAAGTTGCAGCCTTTAGTCTTCAAGAACTGAGCAGAAGTATTAACAAGACCTTTTGGACGTCCCTAATTTATAGGGTCTCCATAAGTTGGAAGTGACTTGTGGAACAGCAGCAAGAGCTATTAGCAATTTTCAGGGGCAGTAGGCCCTTTCTACCATTCCTAGCAGGGACTGTATCCATTTGCATTTCCTTGGTACTGAAACAAACAAGAACGCATACAATATGTTACTGGGCATTACATTTTGACTGTCCCATTGGTGCCTCTGCCACAAAAAATTATCTTGACTGCTGTCCATGTGTCTGGCAACACCAAACTGTTGGCTGATTTCTTGAGTAGAACATAGCAAGGGATCCATGAAAGGAGATGACAGCCACATTTTAGCCAATTGTTTGAACTGTGGGCTCACTCCCCACAAAATTGCCTCTGCCTGGTTTGTGACTAGAAAATTTGCACACTACAGTAGTCATGATGCTGTTGGTACTTTATTGTTGGGTCTTTATTGGGCAGACACAACTAGCTGAGACCCAAGATTATAACTAGTCACTTTCAAAGTGCAAGTATGTCTTCTTCTTCTCTTGCCTTCCTTGTGGAGAGAAGGCAAAGAAGAGTGAAGCTAAGTTTACCTTCTACTGATGGAGTGTTTTTGTGGAGTCCATTCTCCACTCAAAGGTATGTTTGGATAACTGAGCAATTATTGGAGTTAGTATCCTAATATGCGAATTCATACTTATTTAAGGTATGGAAGTTTGGAACTCAAAAGAGCTAGAAGAAATTATGATTCATACTCTCTCTGTTGTTAGTTTGCACACACTGGCTACTCTGTTGGTATTTTAAATCTTTTGTGATATGGTGTATAAACTGCTGTGATGAAACATCAAGCATAAATATGGTGCGATTTATGTAATTGGAAATATGATTACTTAATACCTGATCAATCTGAAACTGTCAACACAGTCCATTTAAAGTGTAGCCTGCATAATTAAATTATAAACCACCCAGAGAGTGCTTTATGTGCTAGGGGGTGGTATATAAGCAGCACATTTTAAAGTCATTAGAATGCATGCAAGGGTAGAGAAAGTAATCTGCTCTTTGCTGATTGTTTTTACTATAGTTTTCCCACATGCACACACAGAGAAACTTGGCCTGGTTTTGAAGATTGATGGATAGGTTTATTTTATGAACTGGATTTAAAAACATTGATTTAACATGGAAAAAGTTACATGTTTAGTTCAGAAAGTGCTTTAGATCCTTCTGTTTGCTGATAGAAGACTAACTGTAATTTTCCATCACATGTTCTTGTGGCAAAATATGACACATATGTTTTTGTCTGTACCATACTATATACAATGAGATTTTTCAGATTTTTAGAACTACAAATCCCATAATTCTGCATTTTGGGAGTTCTACCTGACCTTAGAGATACCTAACCTGGGAGAAAGGCCTAAACTGGAAAGCTTTGAGGATTAGCTAGACTAAGTTCTGCCCAAGCTTACCTTTTTTGCCCCAGTACTAGCTTAGAACTTTCTTTCTGAACAGGAAGCTAGGTTGGAGCTAGGCCTAGCTAAGTCTCAAAGCTATATCTGTGTTTTCATGGTTGCATAGAAAATGAAAGAAGTTTGTATAAGCATAAACCAAAGTAGCGAATTAGTACTGAATTAGTACTGAATTGCTGCTTTTATTCCATGTTGCATGACAAGTCTTGTGACCAGTACATGATGAGGATTACAAGCAAGTGACTCCTGAATTAGTAGTAATTCACCTCTGTGACACTTGCACATACACCAGCATACTGTACATAAGCAGCAAGATTCTGGCCATAATGTTATTGCTTTTAAGAAATCCAAAGTTACATTTTGTGTCCTGAAAACTTACAGATAAGGAAGTTTTCTGTGTATAATCTTCAAATATGTAAGAAGAATCCAGGGCTGTGGTATGAATTGATCTTTTACTTGTTTATTACAGTCATCCTGTTCTTCACAAGAGAAGTTACACCAGCTACCATATCAACCAACACCAGATGAACTTCATTTTTTGTCTAAACATTTCTGTGCCACTGAAAGCATTGCCAGTGATAGTAGATGTAGGACCAATCAAATGCGACCACGATCCAGAAGTCTCAGGTGAGTTAACCTTTCTAGAAGCAATGAAACCCATTATATATTAATGCCTTTTATATACAGTGGTGCCTCGCTTAACGGGCGCTCCGTTTAGCAACGAAACTGCATAGCGACGAACTTTTTGCAATCGCAAAAGCGATCACACTGCGATGTTTCCTATGCGTTTTTTTTTTCGCTTTGCGATGATCGGTTCCCTGTTTTGCTTACCGATCATCGCAAAGCAATGATTTTTTAACAGCTGATCGGTGGTTCCAAAATGGCTGCCGGGTAAAAAAAATGGCCGCCTACTGTGTTTTCGTGTGGATTCCTCACTTTAGAGGCAGCGAAAATGGCCACCGTATGGAGGATCTTCGCTTTAAGGTCAGTTTTTTGCCCATAGGAACACATTAAACAGGTTTTAATGCGTTTCTATGGGCTTTTAAAAATCGCATAGCGACGAAATCGCTTAGCAGCGATTTTTGCTGCACGGATTAACGTCTCTGTGCGAGGCACCACTGTACATATTGGTATAGGACTGATAATGCTTTGTACAGGAAGTGTTCTTTTGATGTGTGAGCTCCAATAAAAAGTAGAGTACTCCATACTAAAGAGAATCATAAAATTATAGCATAATGGAGTTGGAAGGGGCATATAATGCAATTGAGTCTAGCCTCCTGCTTAAAGCAGGAATCCAAGTTAAAGCATATCTGACAGATGGCTATCTAACTTTCTCTTGAAAGTGTCCAGTGTTGAAGTGTTGACCAGAGACCTATGGTTAGTGTGGGTGGCAAATAAGTTAAATAAATAAAAATAAATAACTAAATAAAATCATTGGTTCCATTGTTGTACTGATCTCACTGTTAGGAAGTCTTTCTTGATATTTAACTGAAGTCTGGCTTCTTGTAACTTGAGCACATTATTACACGTGGATCAATCCAGCCTCTCTTCTGTATGACAGCCTTTCATGTATTTGAAAATGCTGTCCTGTGTCTCCTCAGTCTTCTTTCCTCAAGGCTAAATATGCCCAGTTCTTTCAGGCTTTCCTCATAGGGCAGGGGTCTCAAACATGCGGCCCGGGGGCCATTTGTGGCCCCCCAGATGATAGTTTGTGGCCCTCGCCTTGCCTGCCCCCCCAAAGCGCCCACACATCCTCTGCTGTCAAGAGTAAAAAAAAAGCCTTGCCTCGCTTGCCGGCTCTCTCCCAAGACAGCACCTCTTGCACTCTCCATCCAGAACTGCAGCCTGCCAGCCAGCCCGCTGTCTGCCGGCTAAGGAAACTCCTGGGCGGCTTCCTCGGGCTCTTGCTCTGCTTGGCGGAAAATCTGATGCGGCCCAGAATCTGCCTCCAGCGGCCCCCAGGTAAATTGAGTTTTAAACCCCTGTCATAGGGCATGGTTTACAGACCCTTGATCATCCTTGTTGCTCTCTTCTGAACCATATTCCAGTTTGTCTTTATCCTTCTTAAAACTGCAGTGACCAAAGTAGAATCTACACACTCAACCAGTGCTTATCAAAATTAAGTGTATAAGTTTCATTTTAGTAGCTTCCAAGCTTAATTTTTATCATATTCTTTGTATATCAGTAGAAATATTTACATATCTGAAAAACCTATTAGAAAGTATTGTTATTACTTTTAAAATTTGTTGTGTATAAATGACTCCGATTCCTAAATTCATGAAAAATATAACTTTGTGTACGTTTCTTCTTTATTTCAAGCTGGAAAAGAAAGCATGTTGCTTATACATATTTCTAGTATTATATCCCAGTCCTTAATATCTTTCAGTTATGTAGATATTTGAGAGAAATCAAAACAGGATTTGGTAATGCTATCCATCAGGGCAGATAAATTAGCCAGAAGGCTATATGTGACTCCCTAGGAGCCCATGTGCAAACTCCTGATACTTCTGCCATCTAGGTCCAACTCTCAAAAATTTTAATTTTTGAAATAAAATTGCTTTTAAAAAGCTTATTGTGCCCTTTAGAACCCATGCAAGACACTTTTGCTATGTTTGGAGTCCCCCAGTATTTCTGCCATTTAAAAGTGTTTTTTTTTTTTAAAGAAATTGCCACCAGCAGGGACAAGAGGAGGGGCTGTCAGTAAAAAAACATTTTGAAGAAAATTGTTTCTGGGGTTTAGTAGGTGAGTGCAGATGTTCAAGGTCCAAGGGCGTGCATACGTAGACCTCCCAGGAATTAATATATTATGGTTGAATGTGAAAAGAAAAGAGATGAGCATGATCCTGGCTAGAGGGATACAGCAGATGTGTAACAATCACAGACTTACCCTACACAATTTTACCCTTAGTCTTAAAGGAGATATTCAAACTCTGTTGATTTTTTTCTGCAACAGACTAAAATGGCCATTCCCATGCAAATTAGAAGTTTGCTGGTCTCTTGAAAATGTTATTTTCATTAGGTTGCAAGGAACAAGGTGAATACAGTGGTGCCTCACATTACGATGTTAATTCGTTCCAGCGAAATCGCTGTAGAACGAAAACATTGTAAAGCGATTTTTAAAAGCCCATAGAAATGCATTAAAACCCAATTAATGCATTCCTATGGGCTTGAAACTCACCGTCCAGCGAAGATCCTTCATAGTGCGGCCATTTTCGCTGCCCGTGCAGCAAGGAATCCATCCCAGAAAACAGCGGGCGGCCATTTTTTCCCCGGTTGCCATTTTGAAACCGCCGATCAGCTGTGCAAAAATCTTTTTGCGATAATGGGTTAGCGAAGCAGGTAACTGATCATCGCAAAGCAAAAAAGCCCCATAGGAAACATCATTTTGCGATCACTTTTGCGATCGCAAAAACTTTTTCGTTATGCGATTTCTTCGTTAAACGAGGCTCTTGTCTTGCGAGGCACCACTGTACTGTGAATAGCTTTAATTTACTATTTCTCTTGTCTTACTCAGCTAAGTTAGAGTAATAATAGTTGCAAGCACTGAGCTCTTACATAGGAAGAATCATGTCAAATGTTGCTATATCATATCTGTCTAGCACCTCAGCAGTTCACATCTGAATATATTTATATAAAGCATCCTCCACATACAGTTAAGTAAATATTGATTGAAGTAAATGGCAGGTAAGAAATTGCCTGATGGTGCTGCATATTTTGCTAATGCATTCAAAGGTTTCATCATATTATAGTTGGACTGTATAATTCCTTCTGTTTGCAGCATTCAGACAGGGAGTGCTATTACTCCTATTGCCAAAATGGCATTGCCCCCACACAAGGGAATTGATGTCATATTTTAGGCCATGCAATCTCCATTCTGCCTCTCAAAAACAACGACAACAAAACAAGACATGCCTGTGTGAAATACAGAGTAGCAATTTCGGCAAGGGCAATTGAAAAACAAGGTCACTATAAAGTTCAAGCCAGTGGAATCCTAACAGTACCAATGTAGTCTATATTTAAACATGGACAAGTTGCATGGATAAGCTTCCTATGTTGCAGTTATCCAAACATGGGTGGTATAATTTGCACATTATGCAAATTAGACAGCCAGTAGCATACTATATGTGTGCATAATGTCCTTTTTATTGTGGATTTTTCATATTGTGTAAATTAAGCACATTGATTCTTGCATTATTTTTCTAGCCAATATATGTTAGCTTTGCACCATTAAACTGCAGAAGCCTCTGTGCTGCAAGGTCAGAAGTCCAGCCGTCGTAAAATCGAATCCACGCAATGGAGTGAGCTCCCATCACTTGTCCCAGCTCCTGCCAACCTAGCAGTTCGAAAGCATGTAAAAATGCAAGTAGATAAATAGGTACTGTGGTATTCACCCTGGTGCCCCTTTTGCTTGACCTTCAAGCCTCAGAGCACATGACGGTAAACACTCTTCTCTTTAACACTGCTGCCACCAGATGATCCCTAAATCACCATTACCTCAGAAAGATTCAGGTCCACTCTTCAAGTTCTTTTAAAAAAAACTTGGTTTATTGATTACAGAGATTGATTCATAAATATCTTCAGTAGATAATCACACCTCAGAATAATCACACACTCTATTACTCTGTCTGGCTTTTCTCTCCTGCCTGACTCTTACATTTCTTTAACAGCCCCCTGACTGACTCAGGCTCCGCCTCTTATAGCATCTCTCTCTGCTCCACCTCTCAGCAACATGAATATGCATGAACCATTATTTTACATAACACACTCGAACCATTACATAATATAACACGAACCATAGATCTAATAAATGGAGAACGCTACAGGTACCACCACGGTGGGAAGGCAACGGCATTCCGTGTCTAGTCGCACTGGCCACGTGAACATGGAAACTGTCTATGGACAAAACGCTGGCTCTACGGCTTGGAGACGGGGGTGAGCACTGCCCCCTAGAGTTGGACATGACAGGACATTTGTCAAGCGGAACCTTTACCTTGCACCATTTACGCCAGACCTGGGCAAAGTGTGGCCCTCCAGATGTTGCTGAACTGCAAATCCCAACACTCCTCACTATTAGCTGTGTGGGCTAGGATTGCTGGGAGCTGCAGTTCAGCAACATCTGGAGGACCACATTTTGCCCAGGTCTGATTTATGCAGTAACCACCAATCTGATACAGCCAGTAAAGAGTGCAATGGTTAGAGCAAAGCTTCCAGATGCCTTGGGGGGGACTGGAATTTAGTGTTGTAGAGCTGGCAAGAACGGCAATGGTCATTGAGTTCAACTCCCTATCAAGGAAAAATGCCCCAAGATACGTAATTGCAGAGCTCTGAAATGTTCCTTTAATATACTAAGTTCTCATATTCCTCCAGTAAGCATTAATTTCTGTGGTTAATTACATTCTGTACTATCTGCTTAGAAACAGCACAGGCACCTTGTCAGGCTTATTCCTGCAAATGTGCTTCAGCTTTTGGAAAAAGGACATGTTTCAACCTTGCCACATTTACCTAGGAAACTGGATGACTTATGAACTGATTACACTCAGAAAGACTTACCTTTAAGATCTCACAATGCCTTTTTTGCTCTTGTTTTGTTTTGTGTTTCTTGTTAAAATTCTCACAAACACTAGAATTCATTATCCATTTTATCTCCAGTTCTACAGAGGCTACAGGCTTATTATATTAGAAAAATAAAAACTCAGGATCTGGGCCAGATGATAGCTATAGTTGGCTGGTTTTTTTGGTGCTCTCTAGCTTATGTTTGTCATCAAGGGACGATTCCTCCAGAGAAGGCATGATACAGCAGACTTGGAGGTCCCCTAAGATTTTAGAAGAACTGGTGGAAGGAAAAACCCATCAAAACAGTAACAATTGAGTATACTCAGTAACCATGGAATGTTGACTGGCTGTAAAGGGGCAGGGAATTTGAAACCAAGTGACAGTGGTAATGGAGTAGGTCATTAGGGGCTGACGAGAAAACTGAACAGGAGTAGTCCATGTTATTAGACTTGGTTGCAAGCTCCACTTATATCATAGTTATGATGCTGACTGTACAAAGATTGTAAATCAATTTAAAACCCTATTTTCAGTTTGTTCAAGGTGTGATTCAATGGATAATTTGTTTTGCTTGCAGCCCTGGACGTTCTCCTGCCTGCTGTGACCATGAAATAATTATGATGAACCATGTGTATAAAGAAAGATTCCCAAAGGTAATGAAGAATATTCAGTATTTCCAGTATCAAACTTGAAAACAAATTAATGTACTAAAACCATATTTGATACAGTATATCACATTATCTTTGGGGGGGGGAATACAAGAAAATAATGATATTTTTAAAACCTGCCAAGTGTTCTTATAACTCTGAAGCAGATCTGTGTCACAATGAATGACACTGACAGCATGCCCCAGAAAGTCAACAGGTTCCCAGAAGCTTGTATGAATACCTTGGTTTTCCCAGGTTCTTTTTCTGGATAGAAATCCTCAAGCTGCTTTAAAGGTAGTTCTGCAGGCTGCCCACCTTTATCTGGGGCTGTTCGAGGCTCTGTTGGGAAAGAAAGCCATGGGAAGTGTTAGTGCATACAAGGGAGCTTGGGTACAACTCTTTTAAACATACCTAATCGTCTTACTGGATCTTTTTCAAAAAGAAGGAATAATTGTTCCATGCTTATGCTTTTAAAATGTTTTTACAAATCTGTGTGTAATCTTTGTGTAACTTTTAATACATCTGAAGTATCAGGCCTTATCTGAAAAATAAGTTCTATTTCTTTATAAAATGGTTTCTGATACAGAGTACGTATACTCGGACACAAACAGCATGTGATAGTTTGTGGACTCAGCCTTTGAGTTTTGACTTGCAAAGATTTTAATTTAAACTTCTAAACATGTTTGATAATATATTGATTAAATCTATGAAATTTCTATTGTGCAGGCTACTGCTCAGATGGAAGAACGGCTTCAGGAGATTATCACCAGCTATTCTCCTGATAACGTTCTTCCTTTGGCAGATGGAGTGCTCAGTTTCACCCACCATCAGATCATTGAGCTGGCTCGTGATTGTTTGGATAAATCTCATCAAGGTCTCATCACCTCTCGATACTTTTTTGAATTACAACACAAATTGGATAAGCTCCTGCAAGAGGTATGAACCACGTAAATTTTGTTTAGAAATTGGTAAGATGTGTCAGTGTGGTGGAAGAGACAGTATGGTGCATAGTGAATAGTAACAAACTGGAACTCTGGAGACCTGAATTCAAATTCCTGCTTGGTCATGGAAACTCACTGAGGCTGGAACTGGTAAAACTATTTCTTAAATACCTCACAGACCTTGAAGATCCTTTTGGGGCTGTTATAAGTAGATTAAAAACTATACACACAAGGTATGTCAAGTTAAGAATATATAATCGTGAAGGTGTTTAACCAGTAAATAAGAGGACAGATGTCCCTTTACATGGGTCTGTTCACATCAGTGATCTTTGCAGTTGCCTAAGGAATCTCACAGTGTGTGAGTTTAGAATCGTTGGCTTACAAAACATCTAAACCTCACTTATGTTTCTGTGGAATGTAACTTAATAAATTCCATCTGCATCTCAGATGAAATAGTCTTCTCTTTCCCTCTGTTGTGGACAAATAAAATGTTATCTTTTATTTTGATTTTATCCAAGCTACTAAATATTAGTGTCCAATTTACCTTGGCTCATTACTCTGATATTGTATTTGTATTGTATTGTATTGTATTTATTGAACTTATATACCGCCCCATAGCGCTACAAGCACTCTCCGGGCGGTTTACAATTTTTAATTATACAGGCTACACGTTGCCCCCCCCAGCAAGCTGGGTACTCATTTTACTGACCTCGGAAGGATGGAAGGCTGAGTCAACCTTGAGCCGGCTACCTGGGATTTGAACCCCAGGTCGTGAGCACAGTTTTAGCTGCAGTACAGCGTTTTAACCACTGTGCCACGAGGCTCTTTGATATTCTGAGTTGCTATATGCTGTATTTTCATGCAGCACAAACTACGTCACAGACCCTTGCTTTCATTTGAGGTTCCTACTAGATTTGCCCCAGGCACGTCATAGAATCCAGAGCTCCTTGCTACAGGTCCTTGATTTTCCCCATTCACTTGTTAGGTATCTTCTGGCCTGAGGGTCTCACCGTTGGGCACCATATCAAAATCATTTGAGAGCCTTTTCATGGAATTTTCTTGACAAACCTTTTTACAAAGTAGCTTTTTTACAAGATCTTTCCTTAACTCTCCCCAATGTGTGCACCTGTATAAACAAGTGCACATGGCAAATATTCACATAATGACAGTTAAAATGTGCACCAAGCCCATCAACATTATTGTTGTTCAAGTTTATGCGTCAACAACTGATGCAACCTTGCAAGAAATCAAGGATTTCTATGCCACTATTGCATATATGTTGAAGATAATCTCAGGAAATGATATTATTTACTTATTTGGTGATTTTAATACAAAAATTAGTTCCCGAAGAGAAGCAGGAATCACTGGAAGTTTTGGACTGGGAGAAAGAAATTATGCTGGTGTGGTTCTGGTTGGAGGGAGAAACAGCACTTGTGCCGATTTCTGCTCCCTTTTAAATCTCTAATCTTGTAAACTTTTCATAAAGAAGCTTTATTGTTTGCTGTTTTTACCAATTACTAAAATAAGAGTTTGAATTTTAAAAGGGAAGGGAGTTAAAAGATAAGGAGCAATAAAACCCTGGGCCTGCTTCCAGAAGACCCAGAAATCACAAACAATGAAGAAAACTAAGAAAAGAACTAGGAATAACTCAAATGCTAACTCCCTGCCACCTAACTACCATAAACCCTCAAAACAACTCCTTATTGATTACCTGTTAAATGCAGGAAATGTAAGTGAACTCTTTCCTCTTGCCAAAAACAGACTTGGCCTGCTGGAGCAGCTGGAATAAGCAAACTCTCCCAGCTGTTCTGTTGCACAGTCTCCCAAAGAGCGAGGGAGGCCTTCAGAGAGTAAAGGAGGAGAAGTGTTATTTTCCAGCTTGGAGCACACTGCAGATTCCAACTCTCCAAATCCCACAACTGCAAAGAGCACCGGAGGAATATTAAGTGCAAATTTAGTTAAAGCAGTAGGAGATCAATGCTTCCTTACAACAGAGACGGTCACAGCTATTTTTCCAACAGCTGAACAATCTAGTCAGTAAAATGGACATGCTAGAAGAGCTGTTAAGGAGAAAATTAGAAGGACCTGGAATCAAGACAGTTCCAAACACAGAGTCTACGTGTAGAAAGGAGATAACTCTGTCTCCAACACAAAAGAGGGACCTCAACTCTGCTAATGTTTCTCATCCAAAACTGACTGTAAGGACCACTGATATACCCAACACAGAGGGGAGCCTGCAGTGGGGGAAAAAAACAAGTTGCACTAGGAATAGTATAGACCCTGCTGAACACAGGTCACTGGAGAAACAGACAGGCAATTATGCTATCTTTAAGCCTTGTTCTTTGGTCAGAAGCTCATGAGATTGATCTTGAGAACTATGAGAGACTCCCAAAGTCCTTCCAAAAATAGAGGTTAGTACTGACATTTTGGCAGTCTATCATCCCGTTGATGATACTTTTGCCCATTATGAATACATGGTTTCAACAGCATAAATGGCGCTTATACACATGGACCTCATCTAATGGACTACATTGCAATCAAATTGATTATGTCCTATGTAATCAATGATGGACCAGCTCAATTCTTGCAGTCAAAACTTATCCAGGTGCAGACCATGAACTGCTGGTGGTCAAGATCAAAGTCAAACTCTGTAACATCAAGAGGACAACACAACCTAAAAAGTTGACGTCACCAAAATTCCCTTCACATATGCAGCTGAAGTTGTAAATAGGTTTGAAGTTCTGGACGCTGCTGAGAAAATGCCTCAAGAACTGTGGCAAGAGATTCAATCAGTCATCATTAACACAGCAGATGATTGTGTACCATTCAAGAAGGTAGAGAGAAAGTGTAGATGGCTCTCAGAGAATACCACCCAAATAGCTGAGAGGAAAAAGGCAGCTAAAGCAGTAGGTAACCTTGAAGAGGTGAAAAGAGTTAATGCTGATTTCCAAAGAGCAGCAACAAAAGATAGTGAAGTTTACTGGGAGAAGTGTTGTAAACCAGTAGAAGACTGTACAAAAGGACACACTAGGAATGCATTTGCACAAATTAAAAAGATTTGAATACTGTTCATGGCTCATGAAGGTATTATCAAGGATAAGCAAGGAAAAGAATTGTCCAACCAACATGGTGTCAATAATGGATGGCAAGAATATGCAGCAGAGCTATATGCCACCAACAAAGAGGGGCAACATCAAACTGAGGAGGGGAAGGAAATACAACGAGAACCAGCTATACTTGATGAAGAAGAGGTCATGTGGGCAATTAACCAACTACCAAATAACAATGCTCCAGGGGTCGATAACAGCCCTGTAGAATTGCTGAGACTAGTACCAACAGCAATTATTAGAGACTTGTGCCAGAAAATTTGGGAAACTAACACATGGCAACAAAACTGGAAACAATCAGTGTTCATTCCGTTACCAAAAAGAAGGGATTCAAAGGATTGTTCTAACTACTGCACAACTGCTCCCATCTTTCACACTAAGATTTTACTGAAAATTTTACAACAATGCCTGTCACTAATCATCGAAAGAGAATCACCAGATGTCCAACCTGGTTTCTGTCGGGTTTGTGGCACCCGTGATCATGTTGCAAATGTTTGATCGATAATGGGAAAATGTTATGAATGGAGAGCCCTAGAAGATCTTGGGGTGTCACTACATTTCGTGAAATTGGTGAAATCACTGTATGAAAATCAGGAAGCCATTGTACAAACTCAATACGGAGACTCTGATTGGTTTAAGATCAAGAAAGGTATGCAGCAAGATTCCATCATGTTACCTTTCTTATTCAACTTGTATGCTGAAGTGGTAATCAGAAAGCTGGTGTTAGAAGAATCAAAAATTGGGGTAAAAATTAGTAGAAGAAACAGCAATAACCTTTGATATGTGGATGATACAACCCTCCTCTCAGAAACCTGGAGAGGTCTAAAGTACCTGATCATGAAACTCAAAGAAGAAAGTGAGAAGTTTGGCCTCTTTTTGAATATTAAAAAGACCAAACCCATGACAACTCGAAGAATCAAAAACTCAAAATAATAATTGGTGGAGGGAAGGTTGAATATGTGGAAGAATTCATCTGTTTAGGTTCACTGGTCAGTCAAAACGGCAATTGCAGCCAAGAAATAAAACACTAAATCTTACTAGTTTGCACAGCAGTGAAGAACATGAATCAAATATGGAAAAGTAAGGATGTCAGCTTGACAACCAAGTGCATATTACTTTGCACCATCATGTTCCACATATTACATATGACTGAAAGTTTGACAGTGAAGAAGATGGACGAAAGGAAAATTGATTCTTTTGAGCTACAGTGTTGGAAGAAGCTGTTGTGCATTCCATGAATGGCAAAGATAACAAAAAAGTGCTGAAGTGCATAAAACTGGACATGTCACTGGAAAGCAAAATAACAAAACTTGGACTTAGTTATTTCGGCCATGTCATGCGATCAACATCATTGGAGAGAGGTGTTTTGCTTGGAATAATAGTGGTAAAAGACGATGAGAACAGCAAAGAACATGTTGGTTAGATGTAATCAAAGCAGACACTGCCCAAAATATAAAGCAGCTGAAAGAAGCTGTACAAGATTGGAAATCATGGCGAGAGCTGGCTCATGAAATCACCAAGGGTCGAATATGACTGAATGCATAATTCGATTTTACTAAATTCGTAAGAAAAATTGCAGAAAATGAACTAAAATGTATTTAGGCTAGCTGTTGTGAAAAGCGCACTTATCTTGCAAATTAGTTCAGAGCAATAAGTCATCAGCAACAATAGAAATGACAAATTTAGAAGAAATTGAGTGGTTCTAATACTGAGGCAATATGTTCCACAGGCAGTTAGAGAGTCTATAATGCAAAGTCTGACCAAATAATATCAATCAAAGAAATCCTATTAAGATAACCATCATTCAAGTCTGTGTTCTACCAATGCTGAAGAAGGTGAAACTGAAAGTTTATTTGCAAGCATCCAAGAGTGAACTGATCACACACTGAAACAAGACATGCTTATTATCTTGGGTGACTGGAATGCAAAGAACGAAGCAAAGCAGGATCAATCGTTGTTGAAAAATTTGGCTGAGGAGAAAGAAACTAAGCAGGAGAATGGCTCATAGAGTTCTGCAAATCCAACAATATCTTCATTGCAAATATGAGCTTCAGGCAACTGAACAGAAGGCTGTACACATGAACATCACCAGATGATCAATATAGAAATCAAATAGAAGATGTAATTAGAAGCAAGAGATGAAGAAGCTGTATTCTCTCTGCCAAACTAAGACTAGGAGCAGATAATGGAACTGATCAAGAACTGTTACTATCCAACATTAGAGTAAAGCTGGAAAAGAACACTGAAAGAATTGTAATGCCAAAATATAATTTCAATAACATTTCTGAGGAGTTTAAAGTGCACATAAGGAACAGATTTGCACAACTAAACTCAGTTGATTGTGAACCAGAAGAATTGTGGATTGAAACCAGAGATACTATTAGGGAAAAATGCAAAAAGACAATTCTTGTAGTAAAAAAAAAAGAAAAGAAAAACCTAGATGGATGGCAAAAGAAACACTTAAAATTGTAAAGGGCAGTCGAGAAGCAAAATAAAAGGTGACAGAAACAGGGTCAGAACCCAAGAATAGATGTGGAAAACAAAACAATGGCCCACAGACTGGAAACATTCAATATACATTTCAGTTGCTAAGAAAGGAGATGCAGTATATATAGGACCATTGCTTTAATTTTGCATGCAAGCAATTTGATGCTCAAAGTGTTGCAACAAAGGCTTTTGTCTTATATGGAGCAAAACATGCCTGATTCCTAAAAGCTGGATTCCAAAAAGGAAGATGCATGAGATCATATTGCAGATATCCACTAGCTACTGGAATGCAGCAAACAACTTCAGAAGATCAGTCTGTGCTTTATAGATTACAGCAAAGTTTTTGACTATGTGGATCATAGAAACTATGGATTGTTCTTAAAGATATGGGTGTGCCTAAGCACTTCATTGTCCTGATATGTAACCTGTATTGTGGACAATACACTCTAGCCGCCTAGAGTGGTCACAATAACCAGATAAGCGGGGTACAGTGGGGTCTTGACTTAAGAACGGCTTGAGTTAAGAACATTTTGACTTAAGAACCACTCTCATAGGAAAATATTAAAGAAAGAAAGAAAGAAAGAAAGAAAGAAAGAAAGAAAGAAAGAAAGAAAGAAAGAAAGAAAGAAAGAAAGAAAGAAAGAATGAAAGAAAGAAAGAAAGAAAGAAGCTACCATGGAAAGACACACAGTATTCCCTTCTTATTATTACAGTTGGATGATGAGAACGTTAAAGTCAAAATTAGTACATAAAATACAAATTCAACTCTCATTATCATCTGGTGTCCATGCCAGTACAAAGTGAACATGTATTGCTGTATATATGCATAGATAACTGACAAAGCTTTATTATTAAAATATATTTTTAATAATCTGCTGGAAAGACACACAGTATTCCCTTCTTATTATTACAGTTGGATGATGAGAACGTTAAAGTCAAAATTAGTACATAAAATACAAATTCAACTCTCATTATCATCTGGTGTCCATGCCAGTACAAAGTGAACATGTATTGCTGTATATATGCATAGATAACTGACAAAGCTTTATTATTAAAATATATTTTTAATAATCTGCAATTTTAAAAATATATGTGGGTTTTTTAAATGAAGGTCTAAGTTGATAATATGGTTTTGATATTATTCGATTGTGGATAATAATAATCATGTGCTGTCAAGTAAAATCTGACTTATGACAACCCTTTTTAGGGTTTTCCAGGTAGAGAATTCTCAGAAGTGATTTACCATTCCCTTCTTCTGGGTGCACCATGGCACTGTGCAGCTTGCCCAAGGCCACAGGGGCCTGGCTGTATTCCCAGAAGGCACAGTGGGAAATCAAACTCCCGACCTCTGGTTTGGCAGCCAGATACCTATGTGGAGATTTCCACACCTAAACCATTCAAGCCAGCATCTGAAAGAAATTTTTGGAAGAAATGGGTGTGCCTCAGCACTGGAATGTCCTTACACATTTTATCCCTTTATCTGTTCAGTCTATACACAGAACATACCATACGGAAAGCCAGATTAGTTTCAGATGAAGAAGGAGTGAAAACTGGTGGATGAAACATCAATTCAAGATATATCGATAATAAAATCGCTCCTCCATAGGGTCACCAGAGTTTGGAGGCAACTTAATTTCAAATAAAAACAACAAGAAGATTGTGGACAGACAATAATAATTGCAATTTGTTTGATTTAGCTTCACACTCATGAATATCCACCCAATATAGTGGAGAATTAAGTAACAGATGTGATGTGAGCTTTAGGATGACCATTGGGCTCTAAATCATACTTATAAGCAACATCTTTGGACTGTGTCTCAGCATGTACTGTTTTCACTTATGTATCCTTTACTTCCAAGAATGAAAACTCTCTTTTATGCCTCCTTTAACTGTGTTCATCTCAAACATAAATTGTAGCAGGGGAGCCTGCTGTTCATTGGAACTAAATTGTGGGAATACTTTTGGGTTTCTGATGATGCATTTGTTGTCAGTTCCCAGCTGTGACATTCAGTGGATAGCTGTGTCCCCTGCTGCTTGGCACATTGTGATTTCTTTGCATGACTAGGGGAAGTCACAAGCCTTCTGAGCAGCTTGATTTAGCTGACATTTTTGTAGTTCTAAGGTCAAGGTCAATTTGAGCATAATGTTTTTTTTGCAGGGCCCTTCTTCTACTTTCATAGAATACTTTATACTCAAGCTTTTCTAATCTCACAGGTTTAAGCCTCTGATACAAATAGAAACACATTCAGCATACTAATGTCTGCAAGACACAGGTAGCCAAGACAAACATGTTGAGAATAATGTGCCCTACTTTGTTTTCCCCATCACTTATATCATCCCTGAAAACTAAAACACAGCAATAGATAATAAGTGTTCCTGTTTTTACACTGAATATAAAACATGTCTGGAATGTTATTTTAATGTTATTTTAACTATTGTTTAGTGATTATGTCATTTTAACTAACCAGCTAGGAAATTTGAGTGTTTAGTAATGTAGTTACAGACAATAACAATTGTAACTTGCTTGATCCAGCTTTACATTCTTGAATATCCAAGGAGTACAGTGGAGAATTAAGTAATAGATGTGATTTGAGCTTTATCCTGCAGCTTCTGTTATTCAAACAAAGAAGTGCCTTTCTGAGATAAGAACAAAGGAACTCAGTATTTTTCAACCAGGAGAAGCAACATATGGCTTCTTTGCATTCATTACAGCTCTGAAAGTCTATTCTTTGTTGCTTTACAAAAAAGTTTGAAAGAAATTTGGAATATAAAACCTTTTACAAATTCTTGCCAGCCTTTTTGAAAAGTGTGCTTTTAGTTCAGGTTCTTTCATATTATTATTTCCATTTCTCTTCTGATTATCTATGAACTTACTATTCATTTATTTCTCTAAAATCATTCACTTGCTATTTTTACCCAAAGTGTGCACATTATTCGTTTCTTATTCCACATGGATAGAAGCAAAATGTTCACTCCTTGAGTGTATGATTATATAGCTGAAATATAAAGATATTTACTCTGTTCCAACAATAGCAAACCAGCAGCAAGAGTCCATATACAAGCATAAAAATACACTGTGTACCTATAAAAATATTAAAACCAGCATTTATGCCATTCCAGCAATTATTTTGCAAAACTGAATCCATGTATATACCAGCTGAGCAGGTGGTTCTCTCTGAGCTGTTTGAAGAGAACGTGGTACATGCATTAGAGATTGTTTGCACTCAGCTGTGCCAGTGGTGATCACCTGTTTGGTATTGTAAAGTGCAGTGATTGTCTGCATATGTATGACTTGGAGCTCACTGAACTACTAGTACTCCTGGGTTTGGACTAATTTTGATGCAATGGATACTAACTTGAAAGTATGCACTATAAGTGATGGAATAATTGATAAATTGTATAACAAAACGTGGAAGGCGCTATAAAGTCTATGTTCTGGAAAATTTGTTAAACCTGTTTCTTCCTGTTTGAACCCCCTCCCCCCTAGTGTATCCTTTGTATGAGAAACCTAGTAAGAATTACCGTATTTGCCGGCATACAAGATGACTTTTTGGGTCCAAAAAACATGCCTCCAAGTGGGGGGGTCGTCTTGTATGCCAGGTGCACTGAATGACACGGGGCCGTGCTGGCCAGGCAGGCAGGCAGTCTGGATGGAGGGAGGGAAGCACAGCCTGCCATGCCTGAGCGGCCAGAGCCTGCCGCCGGGCTGCCCGCCGCCCTGCATCGCTGAGTTCAGGAAAA